GGTAGCCGCAAGTTTGAAGGCAGCCACAAGATTGTGGGCATCCGCAACAGCACTGCTGTACACTGGGGCAGGGGCAATGATGAGTGATATGATGCACGTGATGCACACAGCAATCGTGATGCACGCAACATTCGTGATCATGTTCGTGGTGATGGCAAACGTCTTGATGACAACAATTACAGCAGCATGGCTGACAACAACAACATGGCTGGCAGCAACAACCACAAGACTGGCAACTGCAGCAAGGCTGGCAACAGCAGCAAGGCTGGCAACAGCAGCAACAACAACAATTTTTGTCCTTATTGTTTGTAGCTCCTCCATTCTTATTATCATTATTTGATCCACAGCAGCAACCACACCCACAATTATTAGTGTCAGCCGTCTGGTCTTTGTCCTCTACGGCTGTCTGTTTCTGCTGATCCCTTGGTGGTGGTGTCTGCTGGTTTAGTGGCTGATCATTTGGAGTGAAACTTTGAAGTGGCTGATTTTTGACTGGTGGCATGAGTTTCGATGGAAATGAGTATTGTTGTGTGGTTTTGTAACTTTGAGCTTGAACGATCTGTTTGGCTGGTAAAGACGAGGCTGTGTTAACATTTTGATGTTGTGGGATCTTTACTAGAGGAGGTCCAAGTCGTAATCTTGGTGCTCTAAAATCTCGATTTCCACTGGAAGATGAGCGGCGTCGTTGATTATTTCCATATATTGGATTTGGAGCAGTAAGAATGTCGGTTATCATAATGGTACTCAAAACGGCCCAAGTCCACAAAGACAGAAATGCCATTGGAAACGTTATGAAAACAATCGTGTGAAAACGGGGATGTGTCTGTCGATTAAATCAAATAGAAGAGGCGTGTTCAATTGTATTACCTCATAAATAGAACAACCCGTGGCGTCAAAGCCCTTGAGATATCTGTCAACCTGCCTAAATTTATTGTTAAAGAATCAGAAACTGTCAACTTCGGAGGCCTGAAACACGGCGAGTAGCTTATATTGTTCAGTAGATATCGTTACAGGTAGCCATGCATATATTTTAAATTCTTATCTTGGTCCTTACCCCTCAGATAGATAAACCGATGGGAGTGAATAACAGGCTGAAATTATTTACTGCAGTCTGAAAAAAATGTGCTTACCAATAACACAATCCAAACTGTTATTAGACATCCTAGGATGCATGAGCAGGTATTTCGTTTTGGTTTTATGAATTCTTATTGTCTAAGTGATCTCCCTTGCATAAATTATAACCTAAGCTATCAATTCATCCATATCACAATAGCTGTATATAGTTAACAGGATCTAGTATACTATCATATAGAATACTAGATACTGCCATAGTTTATATATTATACTACGTAAAAGTATATATAAAGAAAAGTACATGAAATAAATCAGGGAGCATCCTGTTGAAAATGCTTCCATAAAGTAATACCTTTATACAGGAGATAACTAGATGACCCAACTGATTTCATGATTTGAGTTGATAAACTATGTTCCCACGCACAAGATTACGAATTAGTCATAGGTCATTATAGGATGATCGCTGTGCATTTGATGGTGCTGAGTATATAGAGTTTAGATTTAAGATACTGAGGCTACTAAGTGAAATTTTTTTGCAGTTTTTTTAGGTTTCCTCAACTTGGCATCAAATAATTTGGACTGAAAGTGGCAAAAGAAGCATTCCTTATCGTTGCTTACCCCATTTACGGGACACAGTGAGCTCGGCGTTATGAGCTCTCCAGAGAGAAAGATAAAGTGTTCAGTCTTAGCCTTTTTAATGTGTTGTTCTTGCCTTGACGCTCCACTCTCGAAGTAAACATGCAACGAAGTAAAGTTGTATACTATTAGAGAGAACTTTAAATCACTCTCTCTGGTTGTGTTTTGACCGGAAATTTAGGTTCTCCATACATTTATGAGTTGAGCCAGGAAACGTTTATTTAATTGCTGCCAAAAACTTTTTCTGTCTCTAATTTTTTGATCGACCATGGTGGAATAATCCGGAGAGATTATTTACTCTAACATTCTGAGCTTATTCTGCCTAGCAACCATAATTTCCAAAACCGTAGTAACAAGCAGGTGGGGCTGACACATAGTTTGCCCTTTCAGTTAGGGCTATCCTTGAATTTGTGGTGGATAAATGACAACCCACTCTTACACTGAGCTGAAACACCTGAAAATTGAATTTGTTACGTCTCATTCACCAAGGAAACCTGACTTAAGGAAAGACAACCCCAAAAACCCATTTTCAATGTACCAGTTTAGTAGGCGGAGCCTTGCCGACACATTTGACTAGCTTAAAATTATGATATTTCAAACCTTAAGATGAAAAAAGAACTGTGTTTTGGTTTTTAAAAGAAACATTTCGGAAAGCTGTTTCTGGTGATGCGTTGTCTCTCTTTTTAGAAGATAGTTGCTTTTTCTCAAATTGCATTTCTGGCCGGATCAATGAATGTCTTTCATGTATAGTACTTATTTGTATTTGAACAATTCTTACCTTACACGTTGTGTCAGCTCACTAATCAAATATTAACAAATAAATGGCTAGAATGCGAGTCACAAGTCAACTCTTTGCCTCAGAGACAAACTTGCTCCAAAGTTTGAGATGTTGCTTTTACACCATGAAACACGAATTATTTTTTACTTTTTCCTTCTAATAGTACATTCAGATTTCGCACAAAAACCCAGCGCATTGTTGGAAGGACTTGACATCACTGACATAGAGAACAAAATTAAGACTAAACACTGTTCAAACCATGACCTTAAATACCAACGTATTCCTCACAGTTTTTCGTCTTTCTCCAACTGCCTCTCTAAACAAGGAATGGTATTTCGAGGAGGACCCTGTGGTGTCATGCCAGCAACATCATGCGGAGGTTTTAACTGTGCCTCTGGGATTGGATTTCCTATTTCTACAGTTTGCTGTAAGTAATTAGTTTTTGATGATATCATAAACACTGACCTACCTGTGTACATATGAAAAACATGGGGTCACCAAATTGCCTGATCTTGCGAAAAGTGTAAGGAAGTCGGACATGGACTCACCTTCTACTCTTGTTAAGTCTGAATTTCAGCACGTTTTCGAAAAAGTAACAAAAGGCTTCCTATCAAAATATTCTCCCCTTAAAAAATTGTTAGGTTATGTTATCCGTGACCGTAAATAAATGTTTCCACACCTTGTACAGGTTCTTGGCTAGGTTGCAGGAAAGCGACTCAATCCAGTCGAGAAATCGATACTGCTAAGCGGTTTGACATCACAAGCCTACCAGCACACCCTTTTGCACTTCCTTGGAAAACACCCACAAAGCTCTACAATCACAAACGCAAGCGTAAACACAAACACTCAAAACCGAAAAAATACCATCACCAGTCTACCGAAAGAGGCCCCAACATAGACGTTGAATTGAAGCTGAACGATGAGCCAAAACACAAAACACAAGACGAAGTTGTGCTCGGTCAACCATTAGATCACAGACCTTGGTTTCCTTACATGTACAGACCAATTCAACCGCTTCACATGCAGTATCATCCCCACTTCTCTCCACATTATCTGCATTATCCCACGAGGTTCTACCTTCCATCCTATTGGCGGTTCCAAGGATATTTTCCTGATTTTGTGAACTTGAGATCTCCCTGGACAATGAATCCGTCAGATATGTCAAATGCCCATCATTATCCTGAGTATCAGTATGGAGATGTGCAGTTCTTCCAGTCCAATCATCTTTTCAGGTATAATCGACCACCGTTTAGAGATTTCAACGATTTCAGCTCTTACCTCCAACTTTTAGACAAAGCGGAAAGACTTCATGATCACTTGAAGCACAGCAAAAACAAAATTAGGAGTCACAACGAGCGTGATGGACTACGTGAAGAGGACAGGAAGATGGTCGATAACTCAGAAGACTCCAAGGGAACTGTCAAATGGGGCAACTATAAACTAAGGGGAACTGAACACGAAAAAGAACCTACTCCTATTGTCGCAGAAGACCAAGGCATGTTGCATTTCGATCCGACAGAAAAGGAAGATTTAGATACCAATTATCCTGAGTACAAAAGCGAATTCAACACAGTGCGCTTCTGGCCTTCTGTGAAGAAGAGGCGAGGGCAACTTAACGCCCATGTAACATTCCACGAATCATTAAAAAAAGAAATGGCGCATTAAAGGACTTCAACTCAGCTAACTAGGGATTTAATTTGTATGTTATATCCACTTTCAAGGAGAAAAGGAAGCGGAAAGAAAGGAAAGACACAGGGCTGACCTACTCAGTCCCAAAGAACGTTCTGCAGTAGGAGCTGTGGGAACTGTAATACTAAAATCTGATCCGGAAATCATCGCCAATGCGATACGTACCAATGCTTGAACTTCATAAAGGTAAAAAAGGAAAGGAAATTTGCCATTTGCCAAGATTCGGGTAATATCACAGAGGGAAAGTGTCGGCCTACATATCTAAGTTAAGAGAATTGAAGTAAACATGAGAGGATATCTAAGAATTAAATGCAGCTGATGTCGATATTCGTGAAAACTCTAAATGAGGGATTGGCATCGATCCAATTATTTGGAAGTGCCTTGACTTAAACATATTCTCATCAATAATGGCGAACAGATGAAAAGAACATATCTTGTAAAAGTATTTTAACCGCCGAACAAATCCTTTACCATTGCTACAGGTCTGCCCTTTGAATATTAAAGTTGTAATTAGGCCCAGGCAGATAGTCTGTCTGATCTCCTAAGAATGATAAGATATAAATTATTTAGGTTTTAAGTGGAGCCATGAAGCTTACACTACATATTGCTAAGACACTTCAACACCATTTTGAATAATGATATGCAGGGCTTGTGGCATACGATTTCTAAAGTAGAACAGCAAGCATATCAAGGTTCCCATAAGTTAAAAAGTGATGTCTCTCGTGTGCAAGTTTGCTGTGTCAAGTTAACAAAGTTCCTGCTTGGTTTGCATGGGCCTTACTAATTATCTAAGTGTTTAATTAATACATAACATAACTCCGTGTAAAGTGAAGTACACTTTAATTCCATATTTAGGATTTTGCATGGACCGTATCACTTTGATTCTTGCAAAAAATAAATTTAATGCTATCATAAGTACTGAGGTCTACTGTGTATACACCTAGTCTCGAAAGTTCTCTACGATTACTTGCAAAGAGCGTCCGGGATCATTTTTTCGCAGTGCATGCTGTTTCATAAGCCTCATTCTGTCTTTAAGAGACTTAAAACGGTTTTTTAGTACAAAGACGGTGGGCGAATGTAGTTTGAGGTTTCTTGAGGAGTCACGGGCTGTACTACTGGTTGATAGGGTCCGCAAGGTACCTTGGGTGCCAGTGGTTGGTTGACTACCTTTGGGGCTTGCAGAGCCAGAACTGCCTCCGCTAGGGCTGGTCGGCTGTGTCTTAACTTCTTTTGTTTCCTTTGTAGGCTGTTTCCCGCCGGTGGGTGCTTCGGTCGGCTTACCTCCTTCTTTGCCACGTTCTTCCTTTGCTAATGAAAAACATAACTTCTTCAACTTTTGATAAAGTTAGCTTTATGTTTCTAAGCTTTCTGTGGTATAATGCCTTATGAGTGAAAATATGTGAAACAGCCGAATATGTGTAAAAATTTTAACTCCTTTTCAAGCTTAGCGAATCAAAAGAGAGCAGCGGTATTTCGTTGACTGCTCAACATATTGTTTCTTGAATTAATTAAATTCATTTCACATCCCAAATTTAACCATAGTAAAGATACCCAAATAAGTACACGAATAACACTTACGACAGCAGCAACCACATCCAGCAGGGAACCATGGGTAGGGTTGACTATACGGACCACCTCCCGGAAGAGGATAGCCACATCCTTCCACCCAGCCGTATTCTGGCCACCACGGGTCGGGGACCGTAGGCCAACCTACACCTCCGCATGGGTAGGATACCTCTGGTGGGGGAAAACCGTATGGGCAGAAATCAAAGCAGCGCTTTGAAGTATAACCAGATCGTCGGGCTCTGGGCTTTTGAGGAGAGAAATGACACAAGGCTCTTCCTTTCCTTTCCTTAATCCTTCTCGGGTTATTGAGTTTCAGATGATAATGTCTTATCTTGCCTGCCGGCGCGCTTAACTCATCATGTGTAGCGTCTTCTCTTTTTCTATCGCGGTGGACGCCTTCGCAAGTGTCTGTTTCAAAAAGTATCAGGCGAAGAGAAACAATGAGCAGAATCTTTAAGAAACTCATCTTCTCTTCTTCTTAGATACCCCTGATATCACAAAGAAACTATGACATAAAGTCAATATACCCTTGAAGACTTGATACATGACATCATTTATGTATCTTGCAAAATAAACAACTTATCAGCGTTATGCCCTCTAATCTCCATGGGGTAGTTTAAGGTTGTCCGAGTAAGTGCTTCAGGTTGAATGACAAAAAAATCACAAACAATACTTGGCGACAATAGTTTTCTCCTTGCATCAGAATGAAGTCGTAAGATGAAAATTTTTGTAGTGAGTGCTGAAATGCTTCCTTCTTCAATGGTGCATATGACAGGAACGCCCTCTGTTTTTCTTTACAAATCAATTGGAAGAACAAAGACGGCATACTTGTCCTTGAAAACCATTATACGCTTCAGTAGATACGAATGTGGCCATTAACGTTAGAGGACATCATCATAGTTAAAAGCTTTTCATAAGCTATTACCCCCTTGATGCTCGTGGACTGACGTTTCATAAATCTAACAATTGCACCCCTTATTACTATATAGCTTTGGTTTCTTTCTCGTAAGTAGTTGTTTGAACCAGAATTATATGGCATTGAATATGCAGATGGCACATGCAAACCTTTAAGCACTCAGAATAGATGATTTAGGTAAAAGATAAAATATCTTTACTGATATCTTAAAATTTCTTTTAAAATTTGCTTTAAAAGAGAACCTATTCAAAAAGGCGCCAGTTGAAGACACAAATTAGAGCGATTTTTAATCTAGGGTCGAAATTAAGCCTGTATTGTTTTGTCTTCCCTTTACTTCGCCCGTATCCTCGGAGACCCAGCGGCTGTGAGTCGATTTCAAGTCAGGACGGAAGAGCCCTTACAAGACTAGTTCCAAACGGTCGCAGTCGTTCTGGCATTTGATTGGTGCCAGAAAATATTTGTGTTTTTCTGCCCAATCAGAGTGAAGTATGCTTTAGAGTCCTTTCATGTGTTTTAACATGGAGCTGTACAAGAAGCTCAGTTGCTCGCCTTGTTTGTTTGGGCCGTGCGATGAAGCTCTGCTCGAGGTGAAAAGTTTCAGTCTCAGAACACAATGTAAGAGAAATCGATCAGATTGTCCGCGAAAATATTACCAGAAATTATACTGAATACTTTCGCAGGTATCACAGGAGAACGTATTTAAAAGTTTGCGAGGTTCGTTTAAAACGTAATGGTTGCAGGCGTTAATATGCCCCTTTAAACGTTAGACAAGATGTAAGCTTAAATCGCTGTAGATTTCTCGTATAATTTGCTGCGACTTAAACTTTGTCAATCCCGTGAAGTCATTTCGTCGCACGGGCCACGCAGGTATGTCAAGCAACTGGCGCTTACGCTCACGGAGCTTTCGTTGCGCGCCAAAATCTAACCCCTTCACTGTAGTAAAGTCTTTCATGAAATGGCCAAGATTGCAGAGAACGTTAAGTTCGTGGACGACCTCCAGGAGGCGCTCAGAGAAATCTTAGCTGTGTTTCCAGTTAGCGAATTAAAATTTGAACAAAAACTTACTATTGAGAACATTGTGGGAGAGATGTTTTCGGACAATTACCGAAGGGAGAAATACGAGAAATCTGGAGCGATTTAAGCTTACATCTCGTCTAACGTTTAGCTTTATTATTCAGATTGTTGGGTCGGTTTTACTTTGAGCTCTTATTGGCTATAAAAGGTATTTCCTCTCTTCTTATCGGCCGTTTTGACTGCTCTAGTTTTGGTTTTACGACATTCAATCGAAAAGCGCTAAATATGAATATCTATGGAGGATGTTACATAGAGGTGTGTGGATACGAATTTTGATGTTCTGTTATTATAAAAAAAAAAAAAACCAACTTCAAAAGCGGAAAGAGGAGATAATCCACAGATCAGATGAGCTTCCGTTAAAAAATAAAGATAAATTCAGCCTCCTCATCGTAGGTAAGGCCCGTCAAACAAAAACACAAAAATGTTTTCAGTTGCCATAAAGGATGTGGAGTATAGAAAAGGCATTTCAAAGCGTATGATAAAGATATCAAGTGTCTGAAACATAACAGACTCCAGTATTGCTCAATTTTTGATTTGATAATGAGGGATCTGTTCATTATAGTTTGTCCTGTTAGTCTACATTTTATACTTATTGAGAAATTATTGTCTCTGGAACTTAGCATAGGATCCTGGTGGCTGATTCTCGGCTGAAGGAGACACTCCCAACATGAATAACGTGAAAATAAGCTACTTTTATTAAGAGCGTACAGTTTACACGAGGTTACGCTCTACTAAAGCATTTTTGCAGCACTATTACTCCCTTTAACACGTTTCACATAACTGTGGATATTGTATCAAATTTTTTACAACACTGGTAACTTAATCAGTGGATATTTCAAGACTTTCCATGAAATGCTCCAGTGCCATTTCTTTCCATGGAACGCACCTGGTCTCAACTGAAATTTTGTGTTTTTAGTCAAAGGAATATAGCGAGAGCAGTTCGAAACGTTGTCTAGAATCTATTTTATATAACTGAAGGAAACTTGACGTTCTCCTCTTGGGTTAAAAATTGCAATATATATAAAATGGCATTATCCTTTATGGACTTGTGTCCTTGGTGGTACCTTCTCACGTATTTAAACCAGCATTTTAGGCTTTTGATTCCCCGTTTTAGCTGGTTTCCCTTTCATGACTGGTTTAGTTGGTCCCTTTGGTCTCCATAGGAATAAACTTCCAACAACCTTGTCTAACGGGCAGTCCGGGCACGTTTGCTGAGCTTGCTGAGGAACTTGCCAGTTCCCATACGTTCCCTGGTAAGGATCTTGATCTACCGATTGCTGTCCCCATCCATATCCATTCCCCCATCCATATCCATTTCCCCATCCATATCCGTAATTAGGGGTAGTACCGTAAGTGATATCCTGTCGTCGTTGAAGCTTTTTGCCTTGTCTCATATTAAATGGACCCTTCAAATTCACTTGATTTCCAATAAAGGGATTGAAAAGTGGTGGAGCCCCTCTGTGTCGTGGTTTCCCGTTGGATGAAACATCGTCGTTAAATTGTGGACAATCATTGCCTTCCCCACCACCTTGGCCACAACCTAGTGAGATGTCAGTGAGCGAGATGAATGTAACTGAACTTGATAATTATGTTCAACGAAGTTACACTAATGGCTAGTCAGCAGTCGCGTTGCTTTCCGGACATATGAGGTTAAATGGAGAATTTTGCGTTTGTATTTGTCAAATGTTACTCGATATAAGAACGAAATATCTCCCCTTCAATTATCGTAAAGAATGGAAATAGATACTAGGTTTAAAGAGTAAAAACGATCTTTGAATTGACTTACAACGCCAGCCGTAGTTATTACAGCCACATGAACAACCAGGAACTCTCCAGGGACCTCCAAACCCACAATTATTACATCCAAATGGACTTCCGTGTCCAGCCCAACCGCGGTGAAAATGCGGTCCATACTCAGGGTACAGAGGACCCGGGCCCCAACCCCATGGACGAGAGCAGTCTAATAGTGTGTCTTCGAGACCAAATGGACAGCCTTGAAAGCATCTTTTATTATTACGGACCTTCCTGGGATTTTTGAAGTGTTGTTTCCTGTGGTCGTCTATTTTTGGTTGTTTCTCTAGGTCGGAGGCTTGAGACGATTTACTTGATCCCAATATTTGGTCGTTGTCAAGTGATGAGTCTCTTTGCATTCTAATGTGAAATGCTTGAGAGTCATCAAGGGCCATAGTAAAACCAAGTAGGCAAAGAAAAATGTTTAAATGAGCAATTCCGAAACCCGACATATTGACGACTAATTCGATAGCTATCGAAAGTCTTGGATTTCTATTAGCTAAGAGTCTTAACCAAAATGGTATCTTTGAGGTCAGACTTTCAAAATTAAAATTATGAAAGGAATTTTCTACTTTCAGCCATCCACTCATTAACAATGCAAAACATAAATAAGTCGAATTCAAAATATAGTGTAAACACCTCAGATCTACCATATCTAGGCTCAACTTTAGGTATCATTTTTCACAGATTCAATTTGCGCAGCCTTGGAAGTTAAATTTTTATAATTTTCAACTTTCCGTCGAGTGAAAAACGTTTGGTAGCAACAGTTTGTGAACCAAAGTAGAACAATAAGTTGCTTGTGGTCTCACTATGACCACCTTTGCGGGAAAAGCCTCAACACGCCTACAAACGACATGTGTTAATTATTTAATTTCACCTGACATAAAAAAAAACAGATCATCTAGTGAAGTGGAGATTTCCCCGATCGAATTGTTATAGTTTAAATGTTATCCGTGTTGTAGATTTCACCCAAAAGCATTTGTGACGAATAAAAACAACAACACAGAATTTTTACGTTTTATTTCATTCGACAATCTTCCAATGAAGCTAGGTGAACGTAAACAAATACCAGACACAACAATTATATAATTTCCCCTGCTCTTTGATCTCTAGCAAAATTTACGATAATATGGTCATTGCATTTTGTTTCAGTCGTGGACGTTTTATTCATCTAAGCACCGTCGTTTGATTTACGTTTTGTTCATTCGACAATTTTCCACTGAAGCTAGGAAAATATAAACAAATACATTACACAGCAATTATACAATTTCCTCTGCTCTTTGATCTCGGGCAAAATTTACAATAAAGTGGTCATTGCATTCTTTTTCAGTTGTGGACGTTTTTTTCCATCTAAACACCGTCGTTTGATCAATGTTTTCCCCGTCCCCTCAATCTGATGTCTTTCTTTCCTGATCAGGCAATATTTATTATTATGTGGTCAGCATCTTTCTCCTTTTGTTGCGTCGGCTTTTTGTCAGGCTCCATAGCATCGGATGCTTTGTTGTTTGGTTCCCCGCAACCTGTAAAACAAACAATTGCCCTGTCATAAGTTGGTGCTATGTTAATGCGTTTATTGTTCTTATGTTTGTTTCTCTTCGAAAAAGGCTCAATCAGGTTCTGAGTGAGCCGACAAGTTTTCAAAAAAAAAAAGAAATAGACTAGCAGTTCAACCTTTTCAATGACGCTTGTGTGAAATTGTTTTTTCATGAAAAAGGGTGCATTTTTATAAAGTAGACTAATGATGTATTGCAGTGACTATTAGGTAAATTGCGCCGTATAACTACATACTTTGGTGTTTATAACTCGGATAATGTGGTTTTATCAACTGAGTTGAAACTGTGAGTTAGCCACCGTAACGAGTTACTAAAGCTGAATTTTCAATGGAGGGTTAGCCCTTCGTCATCACCCAAACGATGTCCAGTGTCGGCGCTAATCTTAAAACTGAAAACTTGGATAGCCAGCAGGTCGTCTCAGGCCGTTCAAAGTTATCTTTTTTGAACTTACAACACCACCCTTGTTGCATGCGCGGACTGGCACCAAGCTGAGGTCCCACTTGAACATTATCATTTAACCTTTCTTTCCAACTCCAGCCATAAACATCATGTTGTAGATAACCATCATAAGCATCCTGAAGCCAAGCCCATTCATCTCCAACGTCAAAAGGTGGACCCTCTGCCGGAAGATTAGGAGGCACAGGTGAACCGGCCAGAGGCGCGTCATTCCAATGGATCTGCGTCGTAAGGAATCCGTCTGGGCAACTAAAGCCTTGAGGAATCCCACAGAAACAACGTCTTTGCTCTTTTGGACCGGTTGCGCTTTCTTCTTTCCCGCTCTTTCTTTTAAAATATTGACGTCTGTAGCCAGGTTCAATTGGTCTTACTTCCTGCCTTTTAGAATTGATGTAGCTCTCGAAATCCACTTTCTCAGTTTCGATTTTTCTTTTGGCTTCACCTTGCCTCAAGGGATGAATTGTTTTTCCCGAAGATGTGAGAAACGAAGCAAAGAGAAGAAGTAATAGAAACGTAATCCTTTCCATTGTTTATTTTGTGCTTCGCGGCCGGGGTTTGCTTTCTAATGTTGAAGTGTCCTCGCATGAAGCAGAGAACCACAGAAGCAGACGCGACGTTTTAGTTACGTCCGAATTCTCTTCATTTTATGGCTAGTCATGCACGTCAATAGAACCAAAGCGTTATTTAGCTTCGAAGTAGGTCATTTATAGTATATACGATGTCATAGGAGAAATTAACTCGTAGCTCTCTGGTATTTTTGGTGGATTTTGACATTTCTCCGCCCTTTTTGTCTTCTTAGCCCGCTGAATAATTTCTGATTTATATACAGGGGTAAACTAAGAAGCATCAGAGTTTCCTAGACAGTTATATATGTAAATTGTTCCTAAGTTTTCTGCTTTCTCTAAAGCAAATTAAATATTTTCGAGTATCTGTTGAATTACCTTTGCACAACATCCAACTAAAGATAACAATTATGAGGATAATTATTTTATAACCTCTTACTTAATGATTTATCAATTTATCTTTGTTCGTCATCATAATGGCTTAATTTTTCGAAAATTTTACTCAAAAAAAAGACATAGAAGTGCAAGGGCTTAAGGCTATTTTTAAAGTTTCACTTCGTTTTAATCTTAATTAAAAAAACAACAACAATCCAAGTGGCTAACGCTCAAATAAAGGACACTGAGAGATTATTAGTGAATGGTTTTTATTAAATTCTTCATGTACGTACTTTTTATCTTACAACTTTTGGAAAAAGGATTTGCAATTTCAATGTAGAAATTCCTAAGAGAGAAGTACATAGCTCAGCGGTGAAAGTTTCGCGGGATCAGCAACGGAGAAGGAATGTATCTTCGTGTTCGGCCATCTCCTGTGAGAACAATTAAGAATACAAAATTGACCAAGGAAGCTTGAATTGTCATGCATTGTAAAGGATAAGTAATTCTTCAAGCTAAATGTTACTATTAATGTAGTTTTCTCCAGTAAGAGGCAGTCATGTTCAGGTTCGTTAGCGTCAATGAAATGAAATAACGGGAATGTTCCTTAGCCTGAAAGCCACGGTATAATGAATTTTAATCGCAAATAGCTATTTTATTACACTGTCATTTATCATTCAAATTTTTTCATTTTACACTCACGAAGACATCATTCTAGCAGCTAAGTTAAATGCCAAAACATTTGAAATGTTCATAGTATTTTTCACTTACTCAACCAAACGTGCTGAACACCCCCTTCGTTAAACAGCCGCGGGAAACGTCGACCACCCGGACGAAAAACCCCACCATGGAATTTACCGCATTCACATCCACCATAACCACCACAACATCCACCACATCCGACGCACTCATCACATCCACACCCGGAGTCAAATCCGTCCCCACCAAAGCCTGCATCACAGCTGCCACAATTTGAGCTGCATAGCCCGTGTGAACCAGCGTAATCCCACGGTGAAATCCATCCAGGAGGACAGTCGTATGGATGAGATCGTTTCCGAGGACTTTTAATTGGCTTCCATACCTTTTCTGGGACTCTTCCGTCGTTTAATCTCTCCGCCTGTTTTTTTACAGTCTTATATTGCAAACCCTTGACATCTGAATCAACACTCAGTACTTCCTCTTCATATCCTCTCTTATCGATATAACTGCTTTGTTCTGTGGACTCCATTCTTCCTTCGTAGTGCGGTAGACCCGTGCCTTCCTCTCTACCATGCGAAAACGTCGCCTTGACAACTAACAAAACTAACGACGGTGCTAAAACAGATAAAGCTTTCATGACGAGAAGAAAAGAGTTCTTCACCTCTCTACTCGAGATAAATGAATTGAAATCACAGAATCTCAAGATTTACAAGCAGGTGCCGCTTTCATGCCGTAATAATACCGTCCATTAATTTTCATTGACAAATAGATTTTAGCGATTTCATTCAAGCTGGAAAAATGACATATCTAGTAAACAAATTTCTGGACGAAAACACTTATTTTGGTGTCAATTCAATACAAAACTAGGTTTATGGTGTTTTGATATAAAGACAAAAATAAGCAATAAGGTATATCCGTTTTTCTTAAGAGTATGGGCGTGGTGCAATTTTCTGGTACCTTGATTGTCATGTTATACCTTTGTATGTCACCTGCTAGCCGACGACCGACGTTACTGCTCTGACGTGCGAGCATGCTAATGACGATTTTACAGCCTGACTGTTAAGTAATTTTAAAAATTCAAAATATTGCAAATGAAGCTCAAGGCGTAATAAATTCTTTTCATACTTTGATTAAAAGGCTGTGACTGAGATAGGTACAGTATCGTGGAAGGATATGACCGTACTTTTTGCTCCACTTCAGCACTGTATGATAGTTTATCTAATTTTACCCCACCATTATTGTAATTTGTTTAAATCGCATTCCTTTGTAACAATTAACAAATCTAAACCACTGACTGTTGCAAGTAAGGGGAGTTCTGATTTGCACCGCCATCATGGTACGTAAGCCGTTTAAGACTATACTGAAGCGACACCGGAAATCGCTAATTGATTATTGTCCAATTTTCTTATTTAAATATAAATTTTTCAAGTTATCAACATTTTTCGGTCGCTTTTAGCACAATACTTCTTTTAGACTCTATTGGTAGATACGAAGTGATCATTTACTGTGACCATACTGGTGTGCACTCGTATAATAATTATTTCAACAATTTCTTTTTACTATGACAAGAATATTGAAATACAAAAAAAGTGGATGTCCACAAGTCTTCTGGGAGTGATTGTAATCAATCCCAATAACGAAACCTTTTACCTGCCTTTTCTCCAAAAAAATTTAATTGCGAGAGCTCCTAAAATAGTAAAGTGTAAGAATGCAAAACATCAAACTTGAGTGTGCTCGACCCCAGAGATTTATACCCACCAAGTGGAATACGTTCAAAGAAAAAGAAACTGAAATACAGGTAGAATGTACGCGCAAATTACAATTAGTTATAATATTATATTCCTCGTGATCATCGGTTTGACAACGTCAGTGGTCAGACTGCGCTCTTGATTGCCCTTTATTTCCATTTCATACGACAAGCTATAGTGTCAATTAACAATCAGAGGTGGCAATACTTGTTTGCATTCAGGACAGAAAAGTTTATCGATCTGGCCATCTCCCATCATGATCTTCTTATACGCCAGTGATCCTGGTCTCAAGTAGCGTGCGTCAACTGTGGAAGACCTTACAAATTCGACTAGAAACAAAGTAAATGAGGAAAAACAGAAAATAAATAAATCAGCTCCATTTTATTCGTAATTTCATACAAATATTTTACACGGCCTCGGGGATCAAACCAGGCTGTAAGAGTCCAGTCCAAATCTTTTTACAAAATGCACTTTCTTCGTATTTACAATTGTTTTTTTTTTCGTTGCATGTTAGTAGTTATTTTGATTTACTAGGTGTCTCATGGACGGCCGGGCTTGTCTTTCCTGACGTATCTTGGCTTGGCTGCTGGAAAAACGGTGGGACTGTCTCTTTCTGGCTTCGGCTTTTCCCCTTCCGACTCCTTACCGTTCTTGCAACCTGATGAAAATCGGAAATTAAAGGTTGCAAGTGATAAAAGCACCGGTCACTTGGCTTTTAACAGAAAATTGCCCCATACCCGAAAAACATTTATCACTGAAATAGTACTAGCTGAGGGCAGCCAAGACGAGTGTATTAATTGTGATTTGTGTGTCTGTAGTCGGTTAGTTACTGCACCATCAATTATATTATGTGTTCAGTATCAAATTTTCAATTGAAATTTCCGCTTGACTGTATCATAGAAGTGGAACTAAGTGGAAATACGAGGTAGAGCGGAGATAGTTTCTGTGTTTAGAGTAACGTCGCGTCAACTAGTTAACAGTTCTTAACCATCATAATAAAAGTTCTCTCTGGATACTTTCTCTCTGTACCGCAAAATATATCGAATTTGACATATTCCTGTTTTCTCTCCCCATACGGTTGTTATTTCGTTTGTTTCTTCGTTACTTTTATGTTGAAAAAGGTGTTTTATTTTGAACATCGCATGTTTCCTTTAGCCAGTTAATCATAAATTGAACCCGTTATTTCTCTGGATTATTGTCTTAATGACCCTCATGCCTCAGTACAAACTAACTCTTAATTAAGTTATGTATTTCTTATCTATCATCGATCATTTCCTGCAAAATAAAAAAGCATTACTTACAGCACATCACTATCGGTGGATGTCCACAGCCCCCTCCCCAGCCAAAGCCACCGCAACCACCGCAACCACCGCAACCACCGCAACCACCGCAACCCCCGCACCCGCCACACCCTCCACACCCAAATCCACCTCCATATCCTCCATATAAGGGGTAGCCTCCCCAACCTGGATGAGGTATCATGTCATAAACGCCACCAAGGCCACCGCAGCCGCCGAAGCCTCCGCATCCTAGACCAGGCCAACCGCCACCAACACATCCACCACAAGGAATGGTGTAAGGTCCGCTGCAGCCAATCACTTCATATGCGTGCGCTGGTCCACAAGGCAATGGACACATACATCTCCTCCTGACCTTCTTCATTCTGTTGATGGCAGGCTCAAATGGGGTTATCTCTATTTTGCCAGCGGGACCGGCGAAATTCAAAGAAAACGGCTCGGGTGTTTTCATCTGCTGAGATGGGTCTTGAGGCCTTCCTGGCTGCATTGCAGTGATAGTGAAAGGTTGTTGGATTCCCAACGTATTTTGCATTTGCAGTTCTTTAGAGTCTGGCTCGTTTTTATTCTTTGGACGGTCACTTTTTAGCAAGGATTTGTCTTCTTTTCTATCTTGGCCTTCTTTGTCTTCAGTTTCTAAGTCACCTCCACTGAAATCACCACTTCTTTCGTCATCTTGGAGCTCCACATTATCACTTCTCTTCTGCCTCATTCTTGGTTCTTCAGTGGTACTTCCGTCTTCCTCGTCTTCATCATCACCATCCACGACAGACGTCTCCAACTCATCTTCGCCAGAGGATTTACTGTCGGAAATGGAAACACCTTCGCCCTCGTGTTCTTTGACGGGCTTGCCTGGTGTCAAGTCCAACAGGGATAGTGAAACAATAATTAGTAGAATAAGTTTCATGTTTACTTTCTTCTGTCTTGAAGTGAAAAATTTTGTTTTGCGAATTCTTTTTTTGTGTTGTGTCACTATTTCAAATTTCCTAGAGCACGTAATGTTATGTCATTGTAATATTTGTTCAAATGGCGTGAAGTGTCACCTGCAAAGCTCTATCAATTACTCGATCTTAGACCTGTTCATCGTGTAATTAAAAGATTGTTCATGTTTGCGATATCTTCATGGAAAAAAAGCTCTTTTATTGGTGGTACTGTATATATTTGTGCAGAAACCGTCTTCTTCAGGGTTAGCCGATCGTAAAAATCAACCAACTCCTACCTCTATGTTGTTTGTTCTACCAATTGTTTCAGAGATTAAATGTTCATTAACGCTTTTAAGTTTGCTCATAGAAACGGTTAGTTTCTTTCGGTCGCATTTATCATGAACCTTGATTGCAAAGAATGCTCAATGCAAACAGCTTTAGATTGTTCACAGTACCATCCTGGTTCATTAAATGAGTTATTGTATGAAAGATAAATATTGGATCTCTCCCTCCACCAGAATAAGCTTTCTCTGGTGTTTCCACAAAAGAGAAAATTAATTTCTTTGAATAATAAATTGCCCTGAGGAATATGGCTCCTCACATGAAAATGACCAATATATTTGATGCGCTTCACAGGAGCGACAAAGACGCTCTATTGGTTGAGTGGGTAATCAATTGGCGATGATAGCCGAATAAAAAAAGCTGCTCAGGTTAATGTCCCTTAAACATGTAAAGAATGGTAATGTTCCTAAGTGAATTGATCATCGTGAAGTTATAACAATTCCAAAGTGATATTTTGAATCACAGAGTAAAGCCCACAAGTTATTTAAGTTATCCAAGTATAAAGTTTTAGTGCAATTATCCTTTTTTTGTTCTCTACTTAAGAACCTTTAGACTAACGTGTCAATCATTTATTACAAAGTCCGCCCTAATAAAAGGACCAGACTTATTTAAACTGATCCGCACGTATTTGAAAAGCCACCCTACTAGTGGATGGAGCAGTTGAGGAAAGCTTAAATTAAAACAGCGGACAAATTTAGTTTTTACTGCATACGAAACGGACACAGACAAAATAAACTACCTTCTACAAAAGTTTTTTAATCTACAAAAGAATCGCTTATAAGCTATTTTGACAGTAGCCAGCCATAACGAATTAATAATTTATTCAAAACAGATCAAAAATTCCCTTGGTTAACAAAACAAGTAGTGCTGTGGACCTGCACTGGTGAGAAACCGACCAATAGCCGAGGCGCTAATTTTTTATTGAACCAACGAGGCCTATTGCCACGTTAAATTAGTAAACTTATCGGATATTCTACGCTCACCAAGAAAGTCCTAAAACCGAGATTGTTTGAAGAAGCTTCTTCATCGTGGCCTTCAATTTCAAATTGGAAGCCTCTAGAAGAAGTCTGGGGTCACAATGACAGACTTGGCGCCGAAAGTACTATTGTTCATCGCATTCCTTTACGTTTACATAGGTGGAATAAGAGGAAGGCCAAACATTTTGGAAGATACGGCAAGAGGGGAAAATCAAAAAACATTTGAAGAAAGTGATCTTTTAAAAAGATCTAAGGCCAAAAGTGGCGGACAAGGCAAAGGTAACAGCTATATGATTGTATATCGCCCAGTGCAATGTGAAAATATATATATACCTCGTCCCGTGATTTAATTCAAAAAAAGTTTGTTTGTCTCAGGTATATCACAATGAAAAAAAGGAGCATCTATCGCAGTAATTTACTCCATTTGGGATAAAATATTGCCATTTTACTAGTATAGTGAAATTCACCTTGACCAAATAATAACAATGATAATAACGATATATTATTTCTTTGGTCTCTCAAAGGTTTTATCTCATTCGAGATTTCATTTGGAGCATGGTGCAGTGCAAAAACATATCTACTCCACTTAGTGCCTATTTGTAATTGAAGACAATTTTTCCTCTGGGCGATAAATATTGCTGGCTTTCAAGCTACTTCAAACTTAAGTTTTTTAATCCAAGATTAATGACAACTTACGCCATGAGCGATGCTGTAAAACTATCGCGGTAAAGCAGTTGTATTCGCAAGCCTAGCTATGGGAAATGCATTACTAAAATAAACTACGGATCACCCGAACTTCTCGTAGAAGACAGTGCTAACGAAAACAAAACAAATAGAAACGCAATTTCTTTTAACTTGGAAGTATCTTTGACAAGCCAGAGACAATCACACAAGCTAAAAGAATAAACACGGAAAAACTGAATACAGAAGCCACCAGTTAAAAGGGTCGCATGATTTAAAATCATGTTGACATGAAAGGGTGGTTGTTTTAAAAAAATCAGGTTAGGTTTATTGGTTCAGTGATTTCTCATAACACTTTACTGGATCAGTTGCGATGCTTTCTGAAATGTCAGTTAATGGTACGTTTAGGCAAGCCAACTTCAAGGATATACTTTAGCCTTTTTATTTGAAAAAGAAGCAAGCAGTATTTGGTAAATGCCGTCAGTTCATTTATGGAATCCAGTAAGAGGAAAAGTAGTTATTTTATGAGTAAGAAATTCTTATCATCTTTATTGTTTTCATAAGACCACAAGGAAATCAAGGGAAAGAAAAAGCAAGTCATAGATGCTTACCACCTTGGTCCCTACCATCACGGACACCCTTGGGGTACGGTCTCACAGTGGCCGGGATTTCATTGGGGAGGACATCCATCACGCCATGCAGGATGGACTGGGTATCCGTCCCTCGGAGGATGGCACAAGTCTCACATTTCCAAAAAGAGTCCTAAAAAGGCAGCACAAAAAGCATCTTTAAAGCGTCGCATGCTACCAACATTTGCCTTTCCAGCTTATGGATACGCTTACCCGTCTTTAGGGTTTGCTGCGGTGCCATTTACGCCTTCACCTATTCCCTGGGGCCACGCACATTATCGTACCAAAGTCCCCGAGAAATCTTCAATAGGGCATACCAGATCCTCCGTGAAACACACTGAAGCTAACAAGAGATGGTGGCCGGGATATATGGGGGGATGGGGTGGATGGGGATTAGGAAATGAAGGATATCCGGGCTGGGGCGCTTTAGGCGACTGGGGACGTGGTTATGATTTTGGAGGTTTCGGTCATGGATGGGGCATGCTAGGTACTGGCCTTAGTTATCATCCTTTCCTGAGAGCTGAGATCCCCCGAAAGCAAAGCAAGAAAGATAAAGCGGAAAAACGTTGGTGGCCCGGCTACATGGGTGGTTGGGGAGGTTGGGGACTCGGCAACAGTGGTTACCCTGGATGGGGACCATTAGGCGGTTTCTGGGGTCACGGATGGGGTCCGTATGCTTATAATCATGGGTATGGTTTAGGAATTGGACGTGGTCATGCTTTTCGCTCGGATCTTCCTAGTAGAGACGATAAAGAAGAACAGAGCCCAAAGCGACAACTCATACATGAACCATTTGCAGGTACTGACTTTCCTTGGTCGGGTTATGGACCGTTTGCGGACTACCAATATCCCTATTTCGGTCATAGTCAGTACATTCCTTATCCTTTTTCACTATATGGGGATTCAATACCATTTTACGGGTTTGGCCCATCTCCGGTCTTAGGATATGGCTTCCCTGGAGACCATGGGTTTTTTAAGTCAAAGATTCCAGAAGGAAAATCTAAAAAAATGCAAAAAGAACTAAAAAAGGAAGAGAAAGCTACTGGTAGACACTTTGTAAATAATTTTCACCCAGGTCGAATGGGATGGGGAGGAGCACTATACTCCGGTAATGGTTACCACGCCGCCTTTCCCTTGTTAGGTGCTCATACGTATGGCATGTATGGTGCAGGGTTTTACGGACCATATGGTCCTCCTTATGGGGCGTTTGGTCCTTACTCTAGATCAGGCATTCCTGGCAGTTCGAAGGAAAATCCTCAGAGTAGGCAAGTGATAAACTATAATCCAGGATGCTGTGGATGGGGTGGATGTGTCTACCCCGGTTGTGGTTATATTGGTGGATGGACCTGGCCTCTTCCATGCCATTTCCGTCACTGTGGCTGTGGCTGCCCATGCTGGACGCGATCCAAAGCTCCCAGGAAGCAATCACTGAAAGAAGAAAAAGGGAAGTCTAGACAGGACATAGAAAGCCCAGTAGAAGAGGAAAGCGAAAATGGTAAAGAAGATCCGCGAACACGTCCACATCTGGAAGGCGCCGACCTACTAAACTCAGAAATGCAGAGCCTGGCTATGGGATTTCCAGGAATTGAGAAACTTCAAACACCTATGGGATCATCAAGTAACCCAGGAGTCCAAGGTTTTAACGATCAGGAAATAGATGCGAATGGAGAACACTCGTCCCCTGAACCAGCGGAGGCAAGTGAAAGTATGGCTGGTATGAATCCTTTCGAAGGGGCAAATGCCCTCAAAGCAGCTGCGATGGGCAGCATGGGGGAGCAACAGGATGGCCAACAGCAGACAGCCGAAGATTTAATGTCCACATTCAGCACGAGTCCATCAAATGAGGGCGAAGCACCCGTTGAAGCCTTTGGTGAAACAGGTGAGCTAATAACGTGAGACGAAATGTGAGATTGTGGTCGGGTGATACATATTTAAGAATGACTGAGCTGGTTAACTTCCTTTTGAAAAATTTTCATATCATGCTTCATTAAGGAAATCCAAACATGTATCCTACCGAAGCGGAGGAGCAAGCCACGGAAGCAGCCTCTCGAAGAGCTGATATTCCCGGTGAGATGGAGAAAGAACTAATCAAGAAGCAGGCTGTGGCATATCCATACCACTACCTCTACCCTGGATTTACGATGGCTCACGGAGTCAATCCATACTACCATTACACCCCACTTAATTATGTAAGACACGCCTTTATGACTTCTGTTTACTTTCGTAAAAGCACTCGCATTAAATTTTGGGTAATTCACGAGGGATATGCGAGAAATAACCCCATAAACTTTGTTTTGCAGTCGTATTATAATCCTGTGTTGCTCAAAGAATGGACTACTTCATTCCCTAATAGTATATAAATTTTGACCTTTTGCCTCAGAGAAGGCGACAGTAATGGTTACTCGTAAGTTTTTCGTCATATAGCTGCTGCCTTAATATGATGCCTTAAAAAGAGAAGACTAGAATACATTCCACTTAAGACCTTGAACTTATATTTCATTGGAATACTGCCCACACATGTTCCATACCCCATACGAAGTTCCCATGAGCCTTCGGGAGTAATTAAAAAAAATCTGTCACTCCTCTGACTAAGTACGCCAGCATTCAAACATGACTTGTTTTCTTGATGTTTATTCTGTATCTAGCCCCAACACGTGATGGCTTACCCTTCCACATATCCATTGGCTAATACTTACGCGCCACTTTATCCTGCGGCCCATGCTGGTCTTATCCCACAAGCGCAAGAATTGCCATTGCATGATCGTCCCTCTCATTCAATCCACGTTGGAGCCCCTAATGTCAACGTCGATGTCCACACAACACGTGAACATGTTGCTCCCAGTCCCGAGAAAGCGGTAAGCTGTTACTTTTGTACATGATGCAGTAGATCGTTTTTTTTCCATTTTCTCAGTAGCTACATTTGAGCCAGTTAAACGATGACTGCGAATCAGTTTTGATTAGGATAGAGCTAAAGACTCTGAGAAACGATTAAAATTTGACAAATAATCTTAATTTTGTCAAAAACTGTTCTATATCCGTTTAAAGAACAACGTAGTCAGGTTTTCGTAGAGAAATGTCACCATTCTGTTTCAACTTTTGCTTTCAGAAAAGTGGCAAGCTGAAACAATTGTTTGTAGAGTTCTCGACGAAGTTAAAACCTAAGAGCAGACATCACCAATCATCCCATGGAAAGAAAGTTATGAAAAGGCAGATATCGCCGTTATTGTCTCCAATCATGAGCCGACCGATGGGATTGTCACCTCTTAGGTCCTCAACTAAAATTACATTAAAGTAGCTATCAATTTGATAACGAATCCAATCAACTGCGTCATCGAAAATAGACAAAAAAATGCAGATAAGCAATAAAACTGAGATGTTTCCAATACATAACCCAATAGCAAAGTAAACCAAGATGCAATTCTTGATGAGTTGTTACCACTTTGTTGCATGATCGACGTTCATGATATTTTGTAGTAAAATTAAATTCCTTTGAAATGCCTTTAAGTCTGATATTTTTATAGAGAGCAGCACGTAAAAGTTTTCGATTAGAGGCATGTGTTTCGGCAAGCTTGAAAAATTCGCATGATTCATTCTTAAATAATTACCAATACCTTTTGACACATATTTTACATTGCGAGAAAAGGAATGCCGAATGCCGAATGCCGTTTTGAGTCGAAAACCTTTATAAAGAGTACAAGTCGCGGAAGTAAACTTGCTCCTCTCAATTCCGTAAAAAAACAATGGGCCATTCCGTTCTGCGCCCTTGTCCTGAATACTTTTCAAACGGCAAGCAGCTACCATCCCTTTCTCAAGGCTTACGCACTGCATGCAGCATTCCATTTCTCGCCGAAATACGCATGCTTTTTTGGGGTCAAACACTGGTGCACATGAAGTATCAGTGTTATGAAATCATCATCAAACAATGAAAGAAGGACGCATTTTACATTCATTGATTTCCAGTAGAACAAAAAAAAGCGTGGTAAATATTCAAACAATGATTGGCCACTTGCGTTTTCGGTTGCTAAAGATGAGTACTTCGGTATTCAACGTCAGTTTAACTTTATACTTCAGTAAAATTGATATGAATAACTAAATTTAAATGATCCATTCCGGCTTTTTTTTTCACAAATCGCTCGGCACTGACCACAGATGTTGATTAGAAATGACCGATTTGAATTGGCCAAGTTCTTACATTAAAGAATGAATGTGCCTAAGAAGAAACTAATCAGAGTTAAAATAATTGAAAGCCATAGATATATTTTAATGGCATAGTCTTCCAAGCTGCACCAATGTTTGACTCAAAAGTCTTTGATCAATCATGAATTATTCCTCACCCGGATCCTTTCATTATAGATACCCAGTATCCAATCCGCAGCCGGGCCTCACGGGAGCAAGGTAGGTTGCTTTGCTACAGCGTCAAACCTAGCCTGTTTCTCTATTTCATGATGCCCTTTGTTAGCTGGTATCAAGAACTAAGAAACTACCAATCACTTAAACCCACACGTCAGTCATCTCCCAGACTACTGAAATATCACCATCAATTAACAATCAATCCGTCAGTCTTACAGCCAATTAATCAATCACCGCCTCGATCAGTCAGCCAATGAAACATTTGATAAATTCCATCGCTCATTTGATGATTTAATAATTTATTAATGTTTCGAAGGACAAGATAAATTCATGAAGATAATTTTGTCAGAATGTTACATGTGCTATAATCTTGTATACAAATACCTGTAAGTTTCTAAGTTTCCAGAATGTTACATGTGCTATAATCTTGTATACAAATACCTGTAAGTTTCCAAGTCAGTATTCGCATATGTAAAACCTGAATTTCTGAAGAATTCGTTTGCGTTTTTACGAAAAACTTCAGTCAAAATGAAACTCATAGCTTATTTTGATGAGCCTCCTCCATATATCAAAGACTGTTTTATCCTCAACTGTTATAGAGTTCTCTTAATGATCAACACCAGCGTATAATCAATTATTACTTTTATTCGAAACTTCTATCCCTTTCTTCTCTTTCTCTCCGTCTTTGGGATAGTTGATACGATATCTTAAAAAGAATACAATTCATTACAGATAACAGTAAAATACAGCTTGATAATTTCTGTGGATCATTATTTCATTCAAAGTACCTCTTTTGAAAGGAAAACAGTCTTTTAGTATTAATTTTTAATACTGTATTCTATAGGATGTTTCCGTCTTTACAACCAGCACAACCATTCGACATCAGGGCCATGAGTCGCTCCGGCCTACCTGCAATGTCGTCACCAGCCATGGGTATGTCTCCATTGGGTTTTTCAGCCTCTAGAGCTCCTCAGATGCGCTCTGCTTTGACGCCGTCTCAAATGGCCTTTTCTCGACAACTGTCAAGTGTTACTGGCATCAGCATTCCAATTGCTGCACAGCCTGGAATGGGAATAGTAGGTAAGTTAAATGCATATGGATGGGTTATATTCAACACCAAGCTACCAGAAAAAAAAAATCGTGTTCAATTTACATAGAAGGCCAACGGACTCAGTGGCTGTCGAGCAGAAGGGTAGACACCAAGAGTTTAATGGGCATAGACTAAGAACTTTATGGATAAACTGATTAAAATTTTTCTTCTCTCGACAGGGATGGCTTCAAGGAAGAAACGATCACCGTCAAAGAAACCTTCGAAGAAGAAAGATAAAACCACAAAAAGACAATTTTTGGCGGCTATGCCTCAAACACTCTCCTCTGGAGGTTTGCCATGGTTGAGTTCACCAGAATCACCGTTTTCAGGTGCTGCTTTTCCATCATTGCCTTTTGCACAGCCTCAACAACCGTTGAGTTTTAAGCAACCCATGATGCCAGCCATTCGCTCCAGGATGGCTCCTACTGGTCTAACAGCATTGAGAATGGCAGGCTTGCAGGCGAATCGTATGCCAATGATGTTATCACCCTTCAGCGGCTTCCCATCTCCCCAAAATAACCCTTTCCTCAAGGTACCTCAATTTCAGAGCGCTAATTTTTTCAGTGGTTCACCAAATGGTCCTTGGGCTCCAAGTGCTCCAATGAGAGAACCCATGTCAGAAATGCCAAATGCTCCAATGAGAGAACCTATATCCGAAACGCCAGGTATGGGTGAAAAGATGTCAATGAAAGATATGGCTTTACTTACGTGTTAACCACTACGAATTGCTAATTTTTTATCATTTGGTTCAGAGATTTAAACAAATTTGGTATCATTTGGATGTTATATTTAAACAAATGAAAATTGGTTCAAGTTTCTATTTTTTACTGCCAATATTGATATCTAAAGCTAGTGTGAATCCATCCTTCCCTGTTGACTAACAGCGCGTCTGACCGTTAAGGTTTGTTACCTCTCGACATCTCACATAAACAGAAACATTTTAACGAAGCTTATAAGGGGAAGGTAAAGCAACGTAATGAAAATTTGTACTTAGAAAAATAAAATATGATCTATCCAATAGAACGTAATTTAGAGTTCTTTCGGTAAAAAGATAATTTCGCGGCAGTTAAATCATTTTAAATCAAAATTAGCGGCTAAATTCAGTTCGTTTAAATTCACTCAGCAGCGAGACCCTATCTCGAAACAAAAATCTGAAATTCTGGGAAAATTTATTTCCGAAACCGTCCCCAAAAGCTGTTTAACGGGAATTTTCTATAACATTAACCTATAATAACGACTGCCATTCCACGCCCACCATTTAAAACTTCAATCTTTTGGTCAACAAAATTGAATTGGTTCCACTGCGAAGAGGGAAAGTTGGTTTTGGAGCGCTTTGATTTTAGTTGGTAGGCGTCTCGGTAATCTGTTTCCAGCCACCTTCGGCTATGTTACTGAGTCACGACACAAATCATTAAGGCTACGATGGTTTTCTCTGTGATTGGCACAGGCTTTTCACAGTTTGCAGAGCGAAGGCCAGAGCCCATGATACCAGAAACGCAGCAAATGAACGGAGGTACTGAAATATATTTTTTTTTATTAGTGGAGACTCTCTCGCCAACACCTTGTTACGTAATACTTGTGTGAAGTGGCTGATCGAGTTTTGTTGCTCATGTTTTAGAGAACAAATATTAAAATGCTCATGGTAACTCCAGCAATCCAGATAACGTAATAATAATCATATAATTAAGAACAAAAGTCGAACTATTGTAGGATGCAGACACCACTTTAGTTTATTCTAATTGACCATTGGCGCAGAAATTGAAACTAACTGAGAATCAGGCAGTTACCGCCAAAATCACAGCCAAGATACATACAGGGACATTTTGAGAACATTATGAGTCACCCCTTGGCAAATTCGAGCCTTACTCGGTTTTCGTGTCATTATTATCGTTAATACCATCATCATCATCGTTATCACTATTCTTATCATTATCACAATCGTCATTACTATTATCATAATTATCACTTTTATCACCATTATTTGTTCTTGTGCCTAATTCTTGAGCCAATACTGTGTTTCAAATTCAGTGAAAAGTTGTTTAGCTTACTTTACCCCTTAATCATACTTATGGATTTTTTTTTGTTCTACAGAGCAATTTGCAGGTTTTAATCCATCTAGCTTCGGTCTCAGTGAGCCACAACCACCGGCCATGTTTTCCCAAGAGGGACCCGGATCAGAAGGGCCCCAACTTCCTATGGTGCCTCAGAAAGAGATGGCATCATTTTTCCAAGTCCCTGGAGAAGGAGCAATGACGGAATCGCCTACTGTAAGAGAGTGGTGTATACCTTAACTTTACCACAGCCTAGTGAACCTGTGTCAACTCGAGCTAGAAATGTCAACTGGATACAGAATTTTATGAAATTCTTGGCAAGCAAAGACTTGTTAAAAGCAAAGGGCAAATATGAAGCCTTGTATACAAGTTTTCCCCGTCTTTCCAACACTCTCAGCCATGCCAGTGGTTTTGATATCAAATTTTAAACTTACAGGCCAGGAATCGTTAGATTTCTTGTTAATGGCTCATAGTTAACTCTTAAAGATGTCCACTAGATCTTTAAGTCCTATTTTTACTAGGATCCTTGATGGCGTTTTTAAGAAGTCATAATTTACCTTTACTACATCCATTTTGAAATCACTGGTGATCCTTGTAATCTGATTGGCTCTCATTGGTGCTATTTATCAACGAATCGCACCATTTTTTGCTCTAAATCGCATCTATTTCCCAGCCAATGAGTACCCTCTACTAAAATACAACAACAAATTGCAGGTTTAGAGAAACAAATCAAATCACAGGAAAAGGAAAAAATTGCAACTTTATAAAAACCAGCTTACTACTGGATCAACAAAGCACTTGTTACGACCAAAAAATCCTATATCTGAGCGACTAAATTTGGCGATTTCAAAATGGATGTAATAAAACGGTATCTCAACTTCGTGTTGTGCGATTTTTGTCTGAAATCGTAGTTACTTGTGATTTGAAATCACGCATGTTATTTCAGACCAAATTGCACTACACTCAGTCAATTAACACTAAATCGATAGCACCATACCCTTATAACATTTTTTAAAAGTATATTTCAAGTTTTTGCCCAATATTGTAGCTTTTATATTTATATTGTACGACAGCCTCCGGTTGCGATTTATACGTTCATTTAAATATCTTGCAACTGATTTCTCCTATCTATCCATCCTCTGTATCTGGCTAGTTTGCAGCGTGAATATTGTGGATGCTCACTGTCGTAATATCAAACCTCTCTCACTTGCACCATTTCATTTCATTTATTTCCAGTTCAACATGCAACCTGGTCTTGCTGCTTTGAAGAAATCTTCTGTTCCAGACAAAAAGAATATCAAAGGAAAATCTTCCAAATCTCGGAAACAAATTACTTTATAAACAGGTGATATTTCATTGTTGATACATAACGTTTGACCAGTGGCTGGTGGGAAGAGCAGTTTGTGCATGGACGATCCCGATTTAATTCTTTTAAACCCTAAGAGTGACCAGAATCTAATTTCTCCTTACACTAATTACTCATGAGGTGTCATTAAGGTCGTGAAAATAAAGGGAATGATCGCCAACATAAGAAGCTTTGGTTAATAAAACAATTCTCCTTGTCAGCACCAAAGTAAATAATGGAGAGGAGTACGAAGAATATGGATACTGATGTTAGGGTTTAAAGTGTTAGCATTATTAAGGACTACACTGTCATTTCAAACATATACAAGAGGGGTTTCTCGTATCCTGACAAAAATTACGAACTGTGTTTTTATTATATCATTTGCAAGAAGTTGTCATAAGCTTATATTATTCAAACGTGTTGTGAGTATGAGCATAAAAAGATAAAGATATATATCATGCCTCACGATAAATTATTCTGCTTAGTCGAGCTCGATGCAACTCAATTAACTCAGATAACAATTTTCGTGTTCAGGCCCAAGACCAGAATTTCTACATAAACATGCAATTTAAGGAAGACGTTGTCACCACCTATCTTACGTGTAGCCGTACCCTTCCGATTATCCTTGAAGGGCGTGGTACGGCTACACGTAGGCTAGTCACAACTAAGGTCATGTTTGACTCAATTTTATTTCCTTACATGTCACTGATCTCTCTTCCTTTCTGATTTCATTAAAGATAAATCAAAGAGGTCACATAATTTCACGGAAGCTCATTGTTGCTGCTGTGGGTAGTAAAGATCAGAGAGATGGAGATCCCGTGATAACTTTTTGTGGATAAGACTGAAACTTGATTTTCGTTTATCTAATTATTCGGCAGTTCTTAGTTACGCAGTGGCAGAGGTTTTCAACATGCAAGGAACCCTGAAATGGTGATCTATATCTACGGTTGCGATTATCGCCGCCAACTGCCTTCCCTCCAAAGTCTAAATACACAGACGAAATTATAACCTTCTTCGCGAGACAGTGAACATTTTTAGGTTCTGATTTTCTATTGAAAGATTAGAACATATTAACAGGTCAAAAAAAATTTTAGTTTTATGTTTAGGTAGTTGAATAGTGCCGATGGTAGATCATAAAATTATCTTAATGTTTTCCTGGGCAATTTTGAAGAAAACACAAAATAAACTAAAAGCTATGATTTTCTGACTGCTCTATAATAAGCTTCAACAAATTTTTGTGTGGAAAAGCACCCTTCCTCGATCAAAACTCTGCGTAAACTGTCCTATTGCACCATCTAATTTACAAGCATGACCCGGATGCTGTCCCATAAAATCGGGCTGGTGATAGCCAATCACAGTTTAGGATTTTGTCACAATCCTACTCGCTTGTAAAAGATGGAAAGAAAGTGGACAATTACCACATAGCAGCAGATGGTTTACCATGATTATTTATGCCAGTTTATGTGGAATTATGGGCCTTAATTTCACGTAACAAATGCTTGTGTGGGATTATTTGCTAATGGCGTGTTGCATTCAAACATAATGTGCGCGAATGTTTCGTTAGGAATATCTTAGGGTGTTCTTCCAACAGTTGGAATAAAACATGGTTTATTAAGTGTGGAGGAGATTTTCCCTTGATTCCTCTGACATGTTCACGAACTATGTGTGTTTCATTTATTCCGGATCTTTGATATGGACGATGCTGACTATAACCAGCTGTAACGGAAGCAAACAGGAGAGCCTGGCGGGCGTGTATCTGACGAACCTGAGAACTGTACCATCATTTGAGAAAAAGCAATAATTATAACCGAGTATTCTGTCCAAGGCGGCGAAAAAAAGTTCGTTTCTTCCTGACGCTCAGCCGGTGTTTGTATGAAACAAATGTGTCACGTTAAGCCGCGTATCCTCTGCACATTTGGTTCTGAAGCTCAGTACTATAACATCACAGTTGCAGGTTCGCTGATCGTCAATTTGATTCGATTTTGCTATGTTTGGAGGAAGGCATTGCTCCGTTTCAGTCAAATAGATGAAAGTCTTAAGACCTGTCGATCGTGTGCTTCTCTGTGTTAGGTATTTGCGATACTCAAAATCGTAATTGTAACCGGTGTTGGTGATATTAGATGACTCAACGTCCACACTTTCGCAAAATTCTCCCTCGTAACCTGAGGAGAAGTTTTCTTGGACATACAAGACCCAAACTAGATGGGAGAAGAGACTAAAATCGGTAATAAACAATTAAAAATTTTACACATTCATTTCTGTCTCTGCAAAAGTGGCCTAATAATTTTGAAGGTTATCCTATTCAGGTTGGTAAGCAAATACAAATTCAAGGTCGTTCATCCGATAGTACACGTTGACACGGCAATTTCAACCTTCCTGTGATGAATCTTCTGACAATTTCGAGTTGTTTAATACAATACAAAAGATTTATCTTGTACCTTAACAATTAAGGCGATGCAGGTCAATATGAGTGTTCCAGACCTTACACACTTGTTCTTGTGATGCCATCAAGTTATCATCATTATCATCTAATACAAATGATAAGTGAATATCGATTAAGTTGTCTTTCTAAAATAGCTAGTCGTTTGCGTCTCAATTACTTACGCAGATGTTTCAAACGCTGTTGGAAGATTCCAGTTAAAAGCGTTAATTATGATTCCTTAGAGTTCTTAGGCAGATCAATGGCGCTAAATTTAAGTATCAATTTGGTAGCGTTATAACTTTACCTGCCTCCATCACTTGTGTCATTCGTGAATACAGCAGTTGTCACGAACCGGATATATAAATTTACCAAACTCAAATCTGTTGGCTCTAGCGTTGATATTTAAATTATATTTCCAATTTAAATGATAAGAATAGATGGTTTTGGGCTAAAACAGCAGAGAGAGTGAAGGCTGCTTAGGTATAACGATTGCGGAATAAATCAAGCACCAAACTCCGATCAAATTTTCGTTCGGTCCTGGTTGTTACGAGTGATAAGATATAATATTCCTATCTTTCAGTACGAGACTGACTGATTTACGGATTGCAGTTAAATTTTATCCCAGTTCATCGCGTAACATAGACACAACGCGCACTACTATGGGTCAAAAATCTATTGCATATTTGCCTTTTCAATGTTGAAAGACAAAATTGGCATCAAGCAAGAATTTTCTGTATAAGCGTTTTTAACTTGTTTGTGTTGGAAAATGAATGGAAATAACATATTTGCATAAACCATTCAGTTAAAAAAAAACAAAAAAAAAACAAAAAAAACCCTAACCCTAAGCAATATTATAAGCTGGTTAATCGTTTCCTATTTCTTTGGCGGTCTTACTTTGTAGGTAGAGTAGGTAATTCTGAATTTTTAATTTCAGCACTTAAAACACCTCTTCTTGAAGGTGGAGTAAACGACTTGTATTTTTCATCTTCCGCACTGAATTTATAGTAAGTTACTAATATGAACTGCTGATAGCTCCTCTGCGGGCGGCACCTTGGGTAAACCTTGCTTATTCGAATTCACTGTTTATTCTGTTGTTATTTAACAATAATCAAGGGCTATTTTCACTTTAGTTATCTTTCTGAGTGTAATTCTAATCTCGGCAATGCGTTCTTTGTAACATTTACGTTATCAATCTCTGGTTTTTGTTTTGCCCGATCTTAACCGCTATAGTATGAAATTTTAGGTAGAAACTCGTTTTGGAAAGAGTCAGCAAACCGAAGGTACACATACTTAGTATGTGGGATCTGTTTCACTTGACTTAACATGATTCGTAAGTTTAGTTTAGTGAGAGATAATGAAGTTGGTCAAAGATTGGCAGCTTGATAGCAGTCACCTTTCTAAGCTTAAGACCAACATTTCCCTCGTAAGAGTAGTGCCAGAACCTGAGCTAGCGATTTGTAAAAGGAATAAAGAAAAGTTTACACTACACAAGGAGTGTTAGAAAGTACCTCTAACAATACTCATAGAAACTGAAACATCTTCCCGTCCTGTGAAATGGCGCCACACGGGCCAAATCCTCAGGTTTTAATTTAGTAATGGCTCCTGGTTATCCCCTTTGTTTTGTAGGCCGCAAAAAATTAACAAGGCTAAAGGAATCATTTTTAGAAATAAGATTGATACACAGATAGCCTTTTGAGAAATATTTGCATTAAGAGCGGCCGGTTCCTTTTAAAAACTTTCCGTACAGATTATCAGATCGCAGTCGCAGTGGTAGTCCAGTTCTGGCCACGAAAATCACCTTTTCTCCGTCCGAATTGAAGTATTCTTCAGTAGCACTTTATAGTGTGTGTGTTTATCATGCGTATTGTTATTTCTCGTTAATTTCTTTGCAATTGCTGTTCAGTTTCTCCGAGCCATTGCTTTCGTTCAACGATAAATTGATTACAGTATTCGCATTTTTTTTGACAGTTTTCATGAGAATCAGCGATTTGATCGTACGATAAGATTAAATTTATCATTCCCTCTGACAAACTTCACTACTAGTTGCGCCATAAAAGCTGTGCTCATGGTCTATTAGCTCGTAAACCGATAGAAAGTGTGGCTTGCTATTTGTTCCCGTGCGCAAACGTCACGAGTAGGTCGCAACCATTGGGAGTCTGAAACTAGAATGCGAAAAATATTATGCAAATATATGCAAATCTAAGCGTCTCTTTACAAACGCAGTACCACACCGAAGCGTTAATAAGAATAACTTAAGCTGTAACCGAAAGTATTCCATCAAATATCTGTGGTCTCTTATTGCAAATATGGCGGAAGAAGGAAAAGTTAGTAGATGTCTAAAGTACACCCTGTTTGTGTTCAACTTACTCTACTGGGTACGTAGCTGAAATTTTGCGGCATATTGTATTCTTGTAGCGACATATCAAGTATCGATCTAGTATTCCATGCGTGATTTTCCTTTATCGACCATATGTTGACAGCTTGTCGGTAGCGATTTCTGGTCCTTAAAGCGACTGATATGTTTTAAGATAGTTAATTCGAGTGTTATAAGACCTCTAGTCGGGCTTGGCTTATGCCTAGACGTCAAATAGATAACTATTTAAGTTGAATTCGTACCTATAAATGTCCCACCATCACTTGTACCTCAGATCGGAGCGGGAATGCAACATTTTGTGAGAGGTGATTAACGTCAATAACAGAAGTATGTATACTTCTGCCGAAAGCTACTGGTTAAGTTTCTTCATCCGTTTAGATTTCTTGGAGCTCAGGCCTTTTATTTTGAGAGTTGAATCAACTTTCTGTCAAACCATTTTAGCGCATGCAAGGATGGCTAAATTCGTGATATGAAGTGCTGCGGTTTTCTATCTACAAATCGAGAACACTGTATTTTGCTTCTGAGTAGGATCTATCTAGGAATGAGACACGCACCTTTTGATGTAACGTGTAGGTATTCTATCAGATAATGCGAAAATCCACTGATGTGAAAGATTCCAGCAAGTTTTAGATGTAACTGTTTTACAAATAACATTGGTGTACATGCAAATATGTTGATGATATTGCACGGCGCTGAGGTCATGACTTATTTTAAGTTCAAGTAAACCTTTCTTTCGAGTCAGCAGAGATGTTTAGTATATTGTGCAGCGTATAATGTTTTCACTTGACGGGTTTCCACATTTTATGCATACAAATTTTCTTTACAGAATGTTTTATTGGTTGTGTTCAGTCTACATTTACCTCACTAACACTTTTTTAATAAAATAACAGAGATACTACAAGCACTCTGATCGGTCAAAACCCGTCAATTATTGCACTGGTAAACCCATAGAAATTGAAGTTTATTTGCTCCAAATTAATTTTGCCCTTAAGAGAAGCACTGTGAAAGTAAAGCATCTTGCTCAAGAACACAACAGGTTGTCCTAGCCAGGTCTTGAACCAAGGCCACTCAACCTGTAGTCCAGTGCACTGACCAGTAGACCACTGTGCCTCTACTTTTTAAGAGAAATAGAGTGGCAGTGCACTTTCTAGTGGTTTACTGGTGTAATGACCCACTTGGGGTGTAAGGAAAACACTAAAAGAGTTGTAAATCACTCACATTCAGTAAGACAAAATATGTCAATTAATTACATGTACACTGTACTTTACTTCCCCAGCAACAAAGCAAAGTACTTTCTTTAAAAACAATTGTAAAGTTTTTGATCTTCAATTTAGTTTCTCAGATTCTGACACTTTGACCTCCAAGACAGGGTGTGAAATTGATTTTTTTTTCTGATAGCCTCTTGGTTCCTAAATTTTTCAAAGTGGTAGCCGATTCAAAAATAGTTGGTCACCATTTTTAAAGATAAACAAAACCCTTTTTTTTATGCTGTCAGCATTCTAGATAGACCCTCCAAAATTAAGTTCTACAAAGTTCTACAAAGTGGACACTAGGATTGATGATATACAACATTAAAGCTTAACTAAATCCAAGATGGCGTCTAGTCATCGATCAAGATGCATGTGCCATGTTTTGGAAACAAATTTAATGAGGAAGTTTGCCGCGGATTTATCTTTGCAAATCTTTGTAATTCACTATATCTCTAGGTGTGGTTATCATGAAGCATCCTAGTTGCCAATTTGGCGACTACTTTTGAGGATTTGGTCGCCAAAATGAAAAATTTAGTTGCATTGGCACCTGTACTAGGTGCAATTTCAC